CCCCCCCCCCCCCCCCCCCAATGTTGATGTCTTCACGACGTCCCTGTGTATACTATTATTAAAAACAATTAGACAACTCGGCCTCGTTGTCTACGTTGAATAGTGAACTCAGGCTACGCCTTCGTTGACTATTCGCTCATAATCATAGTCATAGACCTCTGGTCATAGACAATAACAATAACAATAACAATAATAATAATAATAATAATAATAATAACAACACTTTATTTAACGAGGATTTACAGATAAAGCTACAGTACAGCCTGTTTCCAATCTGGTCCTCTTAAGTTCTAGAAATATATTACATCACGTGATTACGATACTCATGCAGTTAACATACTTTAGATACGTAGGATATACAGTCGCAGATACGTAACAAACACACAACATACACAGATACATCACAATCACACGACATTAACAATCTATAACTTTCAACAATTTTTACTATCAGAATTAAAGTTTTCATATTAATATAATCTTTTTGTGTTCAGTTCAGTCAACTTAGACAGTTTGTTCTTAAAATGTTCTTTACAGAACGATCTAAACCCACGTATGTATAAGCCAGACAAGCCACAGTGTTTTAACTTTGCCACACCTGGAAATCTGTTCCACAAGGAAGGGGCCAGGAACAAAAACCTGCGTTTTCCTGCGTTGGTCCTGACTTTGGGGAGAAACAGGTTATTGTTTTCTATTGCCCTTGTAGAGTGGTGGTGTGTCGGCTTTTCTACAAGCGTGCCGAGGCAAAGTGGGCTAATTTCATGGAAACAGTTGAAGGTTTGTAGAAGGATGCGATGGCGGATGGTATCGTCTTTAGGGATAATTTGAAGGTGCTGGAATAAAGCTAAGGATGGAGTAGTGTAGTCCGCGTTCACGAGAATTCTTGCAGCTCTTTTTTGGGCGGAGGTTAATTTACTAAGTTCATCCGCAGAACAGTTACCCCTGCAACCTGCCTCGTACCCAGGCGCTTTAAATAATTACAATACATGAAGTATTCAGGTAGGCAGGCGACGCGCGAAGGGGCACTCTTCCCATCAGCCCCTTCGCCATCTCTCCCCACTACAATACTTCATGTAAACTCGTCATATGCGCAACACTGTTTTTTTACAAAGAGACGCCTGGGTACGAGGCAGCCCTGCAACAATATTCGACAATATTCAACACACTGCAACAATATTCGAGTGTTGGCTTGGCCAAACTGTTGTATAACACAAGTAAAAGTTCAGGTGTTAAGTAGGGTTTGGCTCGTTTAACAGTTCTAGTTTGGTGTTGGGTTTCTTTTTATAACGGCAGAGATTATTCCAACTTAGGCTATCGTCCATGTGTATTCCAAGAAGTTTTCCAGAAGATGATTGGGATAGGGTGGTGCCACAAATGGAGATGTTAAGAGGCTCAGATATGGTCGCTTTAGTTTTTTCTTCGTTCCAACTAGCATAACTTTGGTCTTGTCAGGATGTATTGCCATTCTATTCTCAGATGCCCAGGTGGCGAGGTTGTCAGCTCCAGATCAGTTGCAAGTGTGTTCGTACCGTATTGATCGTTGGTCTAGAATTGGCATCAACATATATATGGGAATTGCATTGAGTATTTGCAAGAGGGATGTCATTGATAAATACGACGAAGAGGAGAGGCCCAAGAGAGAAACATTGCGGGACGCCACTGCGAATTGGTAAGAGATCTGAGGTTGAGTGGCCAATTGAGACGAGTTGTTTCCGTTCTGTCAGGTAGGATCTGAACCATTGTAGTGTTACGTCTTTAAGTCCGTAGATAGCAAGTTTCTGTAGAAGAAGTTCATGGTTTATCAGGTCGAAAGCTTTCCGGAAATCTACTAAAAGTATTCCACCTAGTTCACCTTTGTCCATGCTATGAAGTAACGTGTCCGTAAGTTGCAGTAACATTGTTCCACAGGAATGAAAGGGCCGTGATCCAAATTGCGAGCTTGTAAGTAAGTTGTATTCTTTAAGATAGCTTATGAGATGCATTCCGTAGTAGCGTTCCAAGATTTTTGACAGTAGAGATTGGTCTATAGTTATCTTTGTCTTGGCGTGAACCCCTCTTAAAAACCGGCGTAATTTTGCTAATTTTCCACTGGTCTGGAAAGATGCCCGAGGTTATGCTGGAGTTGTAGAGGGGCAGAAGCGATGGAAGGAGATCATTGCAGCCGATCTTGATGGCATCAATTCCCTTTGCCTTGTGACATGACAGGTTGTTGCATGATCTCATTGAATAGATATTCAGCAGTCATAGGCGGAATTGTAAATAGGTGGTCTTTGCGGAGTCAAATGTCCACAAAATTACGTAAGGCATCGAAATTGGACTGGTGATGTGCAGTTTCTTTGAAACAGTATTGGCAATTGATGATTCCCCTTATTACGTTTTCGTAGCGCTTTGCATTTTGGTTATAGTGATATCACTGATAAAGATAGCGGCCTCGAATGAAAATATTGAATGTTTTCGCGAATATTTTGCTGTTGGCTATCGCGCACTTGATCCTAGCTTTCTTTAAAAGTTTTTGCACGGGTCAGGACAAAAAATAAGCCATCTTGAATATCAGTGATACTACTATAACCACAATGCAAAGCGCTACGAAAACGTAATAAGGGGGATCTAGTGTTTGGGAGAAATGGGAGTAGAATATGTTCGCGATTTCTTTTGGATCCGTAATCAAATCGTTGTTATCAAGTATCTTATTAGGTATTGCTTTGTTCTTATTGAGGTCTGCTGCATCTTTCGTCAGTTTCCGTAGTTTCCTCGAGTCATGTTTGCTTTCATAGATTTCTCGTTTGAAGTAATTCTGTTTTGCTTGTTTTATTTGGGTTGTTATTTTGCTTCGATGCCGATGGCGTGTGAAAGTTTCCCATGGTATTGACACCGTTTCATGCTTGCAATTTCAATTGATCTCGTTGTCTAATTCCCGCGAGAATTTCTGACGTCATCCACTTAGGAAGCTGTAAAGAATTAACTTTCTTCGTCCGCAGAGGTAAGGCCCTGTCACACAATTGCGTATAAGACAAACGTATGAGAAGCGTATGAAAATTAATGAAATTATTTTCATACGCACAAAAATCCTTTGAAATGCCAGCGTATGAGTACCGTACATCTGGCGCACCTCTAGCGTATTCAGCGTGTGTCTAGAGTATGCTTATCGTATAAAGCATACGTCCGAATACGCACAACATTTTTGAGCATGCTTAAAAAAATGTTCTGCCTCGCCGTATGCCAGCGTATGCGACCGTGCTTGAAATGTATACAACCTATGTCTAACGTACCCCTAGCGTATGTCAGCGTTTTCCAGCGTATACGAGTGATATTTTTCATACGCTGGCATACGCTAGTACGATACGCAATAGTGTGACAGGGCCTTTACAT